GTTTGTAATCATCGCTCACACCTCACATAGGCACACGATGTTACAACGGATTCTCATTAGAATCCCACAACACAAGAATGCACATAATTATGCTTCACATGCAAAATGACTCAAGACACTCTTGAAATGCATACATATTCACAATATATTCATGCATTCATCTCATACTATCACAAACAATCGATATACACAATCACATTCAATTACGCCAAACGGTAATGAACTCTATCATAGTCATAATGCATTAATATTTAATTTAAGCAATGCAATCATTTGCCAAAAGGCCACAATTCACAATAAGTTCCACAAGCTAGGATTCACGTCATACGGCTACCCACAACATATCATATAACAGCACACAAGCTACACATTTGGAATAAGATTAATCGCATCCGAGTTGAAGAATCGATATTGGATGGAATAAAAAGAAAATGTTGTGATGTCATACTCGCTAGCATGCTCGCTAGGCAAGCAGAATGGCGAGTCCTTCGCTATTCCACTTGCTCCAGCGAGTTTGGGTCTTTTTGGTTCTGTCCAAGTCTGGGAGTTCTCGTTGGCAGCTCGCTGGATGCTCACTTAGCGAACCCTTCGCTACCTCACTCGCCAGTGATTCACCTAGCGAATGCTTAGCTACACAAACCCTCAATAATCCAAAAATGTCAGAAAGTCATAAAATCACCCGATTTTATTCAAACAAGTTTCAATAGTCTCGGCCTAACATTCCTCGACTAAACTACGCAATTTATTTTGAATTCTAACCGTAAAAACATCGGTTTCTATCGATTTAATCCAATTCGACCTAAAATGGAAAATGTAGAAAAAAACAACCCAACAATCCAAACAACACATACATAATCATACACATTGATGAGATAATAAAATTTCACACCCTTACCCGATTAAATCGATTCCTAGGAGTTGTTTTGAAGATCTACAAGTTTTTCCTCTTTTTCTTCTCTTTTCTCCCATATTTCCCTCTTATATCTTTCTATCCTCATTCTTTCTATTACGTTTCTCTCAAAACATCTAATAAATCATTTTCTTACAAAATATCTAACTTAATATTAATTAAGAAATATCTAAAATACCCTCCAACCTAATTTCCCCGAAAACTTTCAAAAGCGATAAAATAGCACAATATGCAAACATAACATATTAGCACACCAATCCCACAAATAAAATAATAATCACCCAAATAAAATAAAAGACTCAACAAAAATGGGAAATTAGAATCGGGGCGTTACAACTAGTACTTAAGTATAGTGAAGATATAGGACGGTCCAGTGACGAGTTAGGACTTTGGTCTAGTGACAAATCTGATGCTTCAATAATACACCTCTGAATATCCTAATTTTGGTACCACGTCCATTAGAGTAGAGGAGATGAATACATTGCATACATAATTACATTTATGAATAATTATTCTTATGGATGGATTGTATGATTGATTATTTATGCTAATGACATTATCCTTGTTGTTTTATACGTCGTTAACATATGTGAATGTATTCTCACCCCCTGTTTGTTTTTGTGTTGTTCTTTATGCATACGGTGTAGATACTCAGGTAAAAATTGAGGAGCTTTAGTTGTTTCTTGTATTGGAGGATGGAATTTTTCGTCTTCTTTGTTGGTTATCTTTTGTGTTGTTTAGTTTTTTGTGTGTTTCTCTGATAATGTAACACTGGGTTGGGAATACCATATTTTGTTTTATTTTGTGTGAGTTGTTTAATTGAACCTTTGATTGAAAGAAGTTAATTTATATTTATGAGATAATTGAAGAGGTGTTAGAGTTTATTTTCCGCTGCTATCATGAATTGAGAATGTTATATTGAGAAATGTGGCACCCTTTTGAGTATTTTATTCTGCATGTTTTATAAATAAACTATTTGGGGTTTAGGGTGTTACATAGTTGGTATCATAGCAGGTCTGTCCATTCGGCCTAGGTTTTGTGAATTTGTTTATACTCTGATGTGTGACATGTGTATGAACACTGTCGATGCTTGAATTCGTAAACCGCAATTTGCTTTACTATTTACAATTAGTTAACATATTTTGGTTGGTTATTCACAAATAATGGTTGGAGGTAGAAACGATCAAGAGATTGCAAAGGCCCTTGGGGCGATGGCTCATGTGATGACTCAAGCAAATGAAGCTTTGCATGCAAATTAGAATCATTATGGTGGGGCTAATGAGTTTCGTGGGCTAGGAAAGTTCCAGAAGAATAACCCGCCTACTTTCAAAGGAAGGTGTGATCTTGAAGGTGCCAACACTTGGCTTCAGGAGATTGAGAAGATTTTTCAGGTTATGGTGTGCACTGATGGGCATAAGTTGTTGTTCAGAACACATATGTTGTCTAAGAAAGCTGAGCATTTATGGGAGTATATCCATCAGAGGATGGAAGTTACTAATGCAGAAATTACTTGGTTTAATTTCAAGAATAAGTTTCTAGACACGTATTTTCCAGCTGGTTTTCGTAGCCATAAGGAGATTGAGTTCTTGGAGCTCAAGTAGGGTAGTATGACAGTGACTAACTATACGGCCAAGTTTGAAAAGTTGTCCAGATTTTGTGTTTATTATAATGTTGCAGATGTCAAAGATTCCAAGTGTGTGAAGTTTGAGAGTGGCTTATGTTCTTAAATCAAACTGTTCATCGGCTATTAGGAAATCTGTCGTTTCTCTATGTTGGTCAACAAATGCAGAATTTATGATGAGGGTAGTATAGTTAAATTTTCTCACAACGAGAGTGAGTGAGAAGAAGAGTGAGAATCATAATTGTAGTAAGTCATATGTTACCCCAGTTGTTAAGGGAAAACATAAGTCTCAGCAGAAGGACGCAAGTGAGAATGAAACAAGTGAGGGAGGTGTTTTTGCTTCTTTGAGATATTTCAAATGTGTAAGGTTAGGTCATTATACTGATGAGTGGAAGAGCACAAGCCTAACATGTTTCAAGTGTGGAAAGCAGAGACATCACGTCGTTGATTGCAAGAGTGTATTTTTGACTAATTTCAATTGTGGAGAGCCAAGTCAGATCCGTGCCAAATTTCAAAAGCTGGAAAATAACGCAGATGGCTCGCAAGCTAGTGGGAAGGTGTTTGCTCTTAATGGTGTGGTGGTCTCAAGATCAGATAATTTAATTTGAGGTACATGTTTCATAAATGGTGTTTCTTTGAATGTTATCATCGATACGGTTGTAACACATTCATTCATATATCATGATTGTGTTATCAAGTGACTACTTCGTTGATTTGTCTTAATTATCCCCTAATCATTTATGATAAAGATTTTGGAGTTGACTTGATTTGTTTACCTTAAGTCAACTAGATGTTATTTTGAGAATGAACGGTTAGAGTTCAACCATTTTTATATTAATTTTTTTTATAATATTGTGTTGTTTCTCGAGGCTGGAGAGAGTATGAATTCAAGATTCATATATGTCAATTAAGTAGAGATGTTCGTGAAACAGAATATATCCAAAGATGCATGTTTAAATTTACGAAGGATATTTTTGTGTTTTCAAGATTATGGAATGCATCTACAAAAGTGAAAAGAGTTTTTAATTTACTATAAACGTGTTTTTTACCCCTACAAAACAATGAAGCTTCATTATTGGATCCACCTATAACTTATGATATATTCATAAATTGTTTTTCGTTTTAAGATAATAATTTCTAAAACAGTTTATCCAAACAACTTAACCAAGTTTGTTTTGAATGATAGAAATAACATTAGCTCTTAATGAAATCATTTACCAAAATCTACTATAAATCACTTGATTCTTGACAAGCCAGAATATTTAAAATATACATAAATAAAATAGAATATTTAAAATATACATAAATAAAATAAAAGATATATAGTGAGGCATTTAATAGTGATGATAACAATAAGAATTGGCGGTATTTAATTGTTTATTTTACAGGTACTTTTATCTATTCTTACTTTATTATGGTAACTCTGTCTATTCTATTATATGTAAGTGTACAAATATTTAATTATGGTATCTCTGTCTATTCTATTAGATGTAATGTAAGTGTACAATTATTTACACCAACAATGTAAGCACCTTACTCTATAAGTTAATTATATCATAAATTCTTGTGGTTCTCCATAACTTTAAATAAATATCATTTGGTCATACAAAAAAAGACAGCAATATTCAAATGCATTTGGAAATTTAATTTATAATCATCTATAATATAAAAAAAATAAGATGTTGTAGAAAAGTCTCATTTGTCCTTCTCTTTAAATTTGTCACCTCATTAAAATGAGAGTAATTTTGATCCAAAATTTATTTTTTTGCAATTAATGAATGTCTACTTATATTTTAATCCAATGTCTTTGTGAACAATATACTATACTCTTAAGAAGGTGTAGGAATTTTGTATATAGATTTTCTCTTGTAGTGAGAACATAATAACTGTTCCAAATAAGGAAGGTACGGTCTGTAATACAACCTGGTCTAATTTATGTTAGGTTTATAATTATATTCGTAACAGAGAATTTGTTTGTTAAAAATATTGTTAAACCAAACGACAATGTTAGACAAAATCCCAACAACAGAGAAAGAAAAGGAAAAATAATTAGAAAAAATGACAAGAGGCAACGAAAAAACCGGGAAAAACAAACGCTAGAGAAGTAAATTGAAAAATGATTGGGTGTCGTTTGAGTAACAGAGTGATGCAACCGAAAAAATGACAGCAAAGACCTTATTTGCATTTTTTTTTCATTCCTTCTCTCTTCTTTAGTCTCTCCCCATCTTCATGCCACGCCCTCCTACGTCGTCCACCTCCCGGACGACCACGAGTGGCACCCCTCCTCCCTCCCATCGCACCTCCCTTCATTTATCTTCTCTTTTCACCTTCTCTTGGGTCAAAACCATCCGACTCAAACGTTCCAAAACTTCCGAAAAATTATACAAAAAATACATCAGATCCTATAAACTCAAATAAACAACATCCTCATCTTCATTCTCCATCTCCTTCTCGTCATAATCGTTAACAATGTCGCAAGTATTGGCACCGTTCCAATTACTGGAACTAAATGTTATCTCAGCGCAGGATTTGGCTTCCGTAGGAAGAAACATGAGAACCTACGCGGTTGCATGGGTTCATCCCGATAGAAAACTTTCCACACGTGTGGATACAGAAGGCCACACCAATCCAACATGGAACGACAAATTTGTGTTCCGCGTCGACGATGAGTTTCTATACAGCGACACTTCCGCGATCATGATTGAGATCTACGCATTGCATTGGTTTAAAGATATCCACGTTGGTACCGTTCGTGTCCTCGTCGGGAATCTTATTCCTCCGCCAGCTAGACCTTTTCATACCGACCGTGCTCCTCTCGGTATGCGGTTTGTCGCTCTTCAGGCTCGTCGGCCTTCCGGGAGGCCTCAGGGCATTCTTAATATCGGTGTAACGGTTTTGGATAGTTCCATGAGGAGTATGCCGCTTTATACTTTGAATGCCTCTGCGGTTGGCTACCGGCATTTGATGGGAGAAAAAGATGCTTATGATAGCCATAATCATCTTAGTCCTCTTGTTTTGGCTGCTGGCGGCGGCGGTGGCGGCGGTGGTGGTGGAGGAGGTGCTGGTAAACCTGAACTCCGACGAACGAAAAGTGATACAAGTTCTGTTATGGCATGCGAAGCGGTTTTGCGTCACCAACGTGCTATTATTAATAAGGAAAGAGCTAGTTCTGCAATTTCTGGTTCTGAAGTGAGCTATAATAAAGTGAATAAAAACAAGAAAAAGAAGAAGAAAAATAAGAAGAAAAAGTCCTCCAATGACGAAGCTAGTTCTATCATTAGCAGTGTTCTCAGCGACGCCGTTGTTCCATGGATAATTAAAAATGGAAAAGCAAGTTATACTCCTGATTCACACATGGAACCGCCGCAACCACCACCACGGTATAATGATGACGAACACCACAACAATGACGAAAATGATATTGATCATCATCATCATTATCATGATGATAACGAGAAGGATGTTTCGTTTGTGAACACTATTTCTCAAGCTACAAGAGACACTGATATCAATGACAAACAGAACATTGCCTATCAAGTTAAGGCCACGCCAAGTCGTCATTATCCAAAATCTCCGATGGTGGAGTTTAAAAGCTCTCCGAAGCCGAAGTTTATGAAATCCCCTATGCCAGAATATAATAACTCTCCAAAGCCGCAGTTTAAGAACTCTCCAATGCCAGAGTTTAAGAACTCTCCTAAACCGCAGTTTCATAAATCTCCGATGCCGGAGTATATGAACTCTCCTAAACCGCAGTTTCATAAATCTCCGAAGCCGGAGTATATGAATTCTCCAAAGCCTAGGCATATGAGATCTCCGACTCTGCCGGAATATGACAACTCTCCAAAGCCTAAGTATATGAGATCTCCGACTATGCCGGAATATGACAACTCTCCTAACCCACAGTTTAAAAACTCGCCAATGCCGGAGTTTAAGAATTCTCCAATGCCACAGTTCAGGAATTCGCCAATGCCAGAGTATAGGAATACACCTATGCAGCAAGTTAGGAATTCGCCTATGCCGGAGTATAAGAATTCGCCTATGCAGCAAATTAGGAATTCGCCTATGCCGGAGTATAAGAATTCCCCTATGCATCAAGTTAGGAATTCGCCTATGCCGGAGTATATGAATTCCCCTATGCATCAAGTTAGGAATTCGCCAATGCCGGAGTATAAGAATTCCCCAATGCAGCATGTTAGGAATTCTCCAATGCCACAGTTCAGGAATTCCCCAATGCCACAGTTTCGAAACTCAGCTGCGGCGCCACATTTTAGGAATTCGCCTGCAGTTTCGAAGTTCAACCCTGCAATGGGATTTGGCGGTTCGCACAGGGGGACCCCGATGCATCCGTTTGGAAAGATGAATGGTGGAATGGAATATGCAACACCGATGAGGTCCAACTTGGCTAATGTGAGGCCGGTTACGATGACAGAGTCAGAGCTGGGACCATCTCCGTCAGAGGTTGCGGCTGCAATGGCAAAGAAGCCGGTGATCGATGAGGATACCTCAACAGTGGGAGGATGGAGCTTGGATGAGAGTGTGGAAGGGTTGGGGTCAAAATTAGATAGGTGGCGATCGGAGTTGCCTCCGGTGATAGACCAAGGTGAGATGTCGAGCATACCAACAACAAGCACGACGAAAACTAAAACTAGCCGCCACTCGCGGAGGCATACAGACGGAGGGAATGGGTTATTTTCTTGCTTTAGTAATATCTGCGGTGTTGAGTGCTCCATTGTATGTGGTGGTGACTCTAAAAGCAAGTCCAAGGCCAACAAGAATAGTCGCCGACTTACTTCTTCTGCCGACGGCAGTTCCAGCCTTCTGTGACAAGACAGCCTGAGGTAGCATTGCATGCATGCATGGTGGATCATGGAAAAGGACTAAAATGTGATTTTCATTATTATTCTCCTTTTTTTTAGTTCTGTGTCATTCCTATCTGAAATTATTGGGATTCCACATAACTCTTATACACATTATATCATACAAAATATAATTATGTATTTATATTTATGTATTTATCTCTTTGGTTTTTTATATGTATATGATGAATAGCCTAGTATCATAAGCTCGATAAGCTGGTTGAATTATTTTACTAGCATTTTGTTGTTCTAAAGAAGTTATACAGACACAGACACAATATTGACACTGACCTAAATAAAAAAAAAACAAAAGTGGTTGCATGGAAACACACGTTGATATAGTGTACGTGTCCGTATCAAACACTCAACACATCTCTAATGTAAAGTGTATTTTCAACATAGGTTTTATCATATTGAGTGACATGCTGCAGTCTTTTCATGTTTTCCAAACAAAACTTGAACTCTACATTGATACTAATTAGTTTTTGCTTTACAATTATTCTGTTTTGGAAGTATTTTTTTCTTTTTTGGTCCAAATGTCTTATATAATCTCGAATATAAGTTTGTACACCTTTTTTTGTGTAGCAGGCTCAAGAAAAGTAGGAACCTAGACAGTCTTTGCCTGCAGTTGAACCAATTTCATTAAGTTAAAGAAGTTTGAAAATACCAACAATAATGTTTACCATATTTTAACACACTATTAAAAATATTCAAATGTGGACCAGTTCCTATTGTAAAATATATGTCAAGCCTAATCTCGATTCAAAATATCATCTATGATAACTGTTGGAGAGCATCCGGAGGAGCAATGGACTGATGATCAAGACCATTGCGAAACCAGAACATCAGATCTCTGCTTAAAACTTTAGGTATTATGTACAACACTACTCTTCTTTATATATCCTTAACCTGGTCCAAACCTAATCAATATCGAGGTTAACCGTTCACACATGAATTCTAAAACTTTAGGTATTATGTATAGTACTACTTTTTAGTGTAATTCTAAATAAAATACAATATAATAATAATAACAATAATAATAATAATAAAATTTTTTATATTTATTTAAATATGTCATTCTGATAATTTTTTTAACTAAATAGGTTTATAAAAAAACCTAAGTTTTTTTTATTTGAAAAAAAGTTTGGCCTGACTGTAATCTATGTAGGCTAGGCCGTAAGTCCATGTTAGTTGGTCTGACTCTAATCTATGTAGGTCCGACCTATTTCCACCCCTAATTAAGAGTCATAATGATATACATCATAAATTCGGCCCACAGTTCCCTATTCACATAATTTTTAAAACAAATTCCTCTCACCTCAGTTTTCATATACAACACAAACACTCCCTCTAGTTTTGACATAATCTTCCCCTCATTTTAACACCATCAAGCTTTTGTTAGATAAAAATAGTTATTTTTAGTTGTTGCTTACAAAAATAGAGTGCCAATGCTTTTATCTCGCTAAACTATTTTCGAAGCTCTGGACCAGACAAAATCCACTTCTAAAAGAAGGGATTTAAAAAATGGAATGATTATAACCAAATCCTAATTTGTAAAAAATGTCAAATTCTTGTTTTTTTGTGCTTTTTTCTATTCTGATGTTTTTTTTTCTCACGGTAGTCTATTACAAGTTGTGTCATCATCCATAACATTGCTAGAATGAACTTAATGCACACCATAAAAAATAGAAAAAGAAACTAAGTGCAACAGGAGTAGTAAAATGCTAAACAATTAAGTAAAAGTGTTCATAGTTGTGTGACTAAAAGTGACGAAGTTAAAGGATTCAGTGAACTTGATATCTAATGGCTTGTTTGATATAAATATCATGTTAATTACTTCATTGTTAAAACGAGAATTTTTTTTAAATTAACTATGTATTACCAATTAAATGAAATATTCAGAAAATTAGCACACATTCAACGTCGTGTCGCTGTCTAGAATGACGACTCAGTTGTTTGAGAAATTGGCCGTACAATGAATTCTTCGGATGAAATGGCAACTTTGTTGAATTTGAATGGATTCGCCATACACACTATCGACTTAGTTGAAGAAGTAGGGTTTCTGTTATTTATTTATTTATTATATTTTAAAAAATGTTTTTATTTAATAAACATAATTATTATAATTGTTATTATTTTAAGTAATAAAAATAAATTGTTAAATTATAAATTTGTGTTTTTAAATAATAATAATTAATTTTTTATTATTATTACTTTAAAAAAATGTTTTTAAGTAATATTTATAAAATAAGTAATAATTATTCCCTTTAAATTATAAAATTTTTTTAAATGTTAATTATATATTAATTTAAATACCAAATAAAAATTGATTAACAATTTAAATTTTAAAGCATATAAGTTGATTTTAAAATAAAAAATTGATTAACCATTGAGTTTTAAAGTATATAAATTTTGTAAGGGTATTTAAGACATTTCATATGTGGCCCGTACTATTTTATTTTTCTATAAATACGACTGCAAACACATATATGTTTTCACAATATTGTTTACCAAAAGACTGAAGCGTTAGTGCATTTTGAGTGGAGTGGAGTCTAGAATGTCTGCATTTCTAAATCAACGTTCTTCGTCGTCGTCATCAGCATCGGAGGAACCCTTTCCAACATTCGATCTAATGAAAAGAAATGCCCTAGTTATCTTTTCAGCAACAAAGTCTCTGATGAATGTGCTCCTGTGGAATACGCAAACGTTGGAGCACTTGCACAGGGAACTGAACCGCTGGCTAGAAGGAGATATTGGTCCGGGAGAAAAGATTAGAAAAATTGAGAGGTTGGTCGAGGAGACCGGGAGAAACGGAGTTACTCGTGAATGGAGAAAAGTGGAAAATGATGTCGGTGTCCTTGTGTTAATGTTGACACCAAAGAAGATAAAGTTGATGGTCGTGATATCGTAGACGCCTTGATGCAATGTTCTGTTTTATGTCTTTACGTTGTTGTTATGTTTGTTTAATTTATGTTGCCTTGGTGCAGTGTTCTGTCTTTATGTTGTTGTTATGTCAGTTAAGTATGCTTTTAATCGAATGAAATTTGGTATTAATCGAATGAAATTTGCTATCAATAGAATGAAAATTGCTATTGATATTGATTTAAAGGGACAAGATTACATATGAAACTATGATCTGCTGTTTGATCCTACGTTAGGACATTTTGTACGATTGTGTCCTGATTGTCGACATGAACTACACAATCTTACCAGCTTGTCTGCGGTATCCATCTTCGTTCAAATGCGCGTGTTGTTAGGCCGACCCTTTTTCTTTCTGCACATAAAGTCATTATGCCAAACAATTTCGCCTTCGCATTGAGGCCAATAGTCCTCCTTTGCCACCACCTGAAAGCTACATGTGTAGACATTGCATAGACTTATCACTTGGTGAACTGCAGAAAGAAGGTTGGTTGGGTCCTGACGCACCTTCGAACACACTGCTATAACATGAGAGCAAGGCATACAGAATGCTTGAAAGTTCCCACAATCACACCAGCTCTTATCCAATTCAACACAGTAACATCCCCTAGGCCTTCCTTCGTTGTGATCAATAGACTCAGCAACACTAAACCAACCAGCTGTATGGTCAAAGATTGTGACCACGTGTGTGTTGGCTTTGGCTGCTTCCTCTTTCATGAATTTCATTGAAGTATCATTGTACAGTTGACCCGATTGTAATACTGAACCCCACTCTGTACGTCTGTTATCAAAGAGTGATCCTAGCCTAAAATAGGTTGCCTTTACCAAGGTAGTTATTGGGAGGTTTCGGATTCCCTTGAAAACAGAATTCATTGATTCGACAAGGTTAGTTGTCATGTGGCCCCATCGCACCCTATTGTCGTATGCCTGCATCCATTTCTCCCTATCAATGCTATCAATCCATCTTAATGCATCCGCGTTGGTTAGTCTGATCTCGTCACGGTAGTATTTGAATGTGGGTTCAGTTAGTGCATATCTTGCATCCACAACCTTCTTCTGTAGCGTCTTGTCTTTGATTTCCCGCATGAAATTTTGGGCGATATGCCTTATGCAATAAATGTCGGTCGAGGGAGGATTCTGCCAACCATTGTCAAGGTTGTTGTATGCACTCTCGATTGATGGGTGTCAAGACTATGCGTTTCACATGTGACCCTGCATGCTGCATGCCTACAATTACCCTGCAGGCCTACGAGATTCTTACCCGGTATGCAACATGCTTGATAAGACGAGACAATGCAAGAATCTATGTTTCACATGTGACCCTGCATGCCTACATTGACCATGCAGGCCTACGAGATTCTCTTTCTGCATGCAACATGCTTAATAAGACGGGACAATGCAAGAATCTGCGTTTACAACACACATGCATCAGGACACGTGTCCAACATGCGTTTACAACACACATGCATCAGGACACTTGTCAAATCTGCGTTTACAACACACATGCATCAGGACACTTGTTCAGCATGCTTTTACAACACATATCCATCAGCACACTTGTCCAGCATGCGTTTACAACACACATGCATCAGCACACTTGTCCAACATGGGGATCAGCTGTCCTCGCCCATCTGTATAGCGCACTTTGCAAAAATTCAAAAAAAAAAATTCCTGTACTTTTTATGGTTGTGCCTATCTCCTGCAAGCGTGGGGTTGGTCTAGGATGCCAACGCTTGCTCCAATAAACCGGAATCCTTTTACATTCTCGTACGCCAACAAGTAAGTTTCTTTTCAAGATTATTTAGCAACCAATTTTTCTTTGTAAGTTAATAATTTGTGAGATGTGTTTTAGATGCTAACTTATATGTGTTTCTTTTTTTTTAGATGGTCTGTTCCAAGGATGAATTAACAAAGATGTCTCAAGCACTCTATAATTCAATACCGCAACCTCATCGACCACCTTGGGCCAGATGATGTAAGTTATTTACCTTTAATTTGTCTAACTTATATGCATAAACTTGTATATCTCTGTCTAACTTATTTGTTCAC